TCCCTGACTAGCAGTTCAACGAGTATATTGGGAATGTTCATAAACTTTGTTTGACTGCTCAATTTAAAGCCAGCTAAGGATATACCAACGGATGTTCATGAGCTTGCGTCACGGTCTAATTCTAAACCCTTCATTCTAACCAATTGACTCTTTTTACCATCACCCGAACGCTATCAGATAATCAAAATTTTCCTGAACAATAGAGAATTTTATTTCAATTTTTAAGTAGTAGCAGGTCCACCCGGACGCTATCACACAAAGTAATTTTGGTGAAAAAAATATTAAAAATTTATTTTTTTAAAATTTAATTATTCTAATCATCTGAAAATTACCTGACTTCTAGTAGGGACTGAACCATACACAATCCTGATGAATAGAGAATTTTATTTCAATTTTTAAGTAGTAGCACTCTCACCCGAACGTTATCAGACAATGGAAATTTCGTAAAATCAAAAATAAAAATTTATTCCTTCCAAATTTAACAATTCTAATCATCTGAAAATTACCTGAGTTCTAGTAGGGGCTGAGCCATACAGAGTCCTGATGAATAGAGAATTTTATATCAATTTTTAAGTATTAGCAGGTCCATCTGTACGCTATCAGATAATGTAAATTTGGTAAAAAAAATATTAAAAATTTATTTTTTCAAAATTTAATAAATCTAATCATCTAAAAATTATCTGATTTCTATTTCTATTATTATTTTGAAAATCATTGAAAGTTTAGAAAAATTTTTCTTATTTATGAAAATAATTGACTTATTGGGAAGAAATTTATTAAAAATTTGTAAAACTATTTATTACATAATTTAAAAAGAATAATTTTAAATTAGTTATTCAATAAATAAGTTGGTTAAAGAGAAATTATTGACAGAATTGATATAAATTGAAGGTTTTTCATTAGAATTCTTGGTAATTTCATGGTTTATGATGCAACCAAACAACACAGCAAAATTCATTATTTATAATTTTTTCCAGTACTTTTAATAAAAATCTATGACGATTTTTTACAATATTTTTATTATATTGCGTCCTCAAAGAGGAAGTATTGTAATATCAAAATTTTTCGAGTTCGATTTTTTGACACATCTTTATGTTATTTGATCTCAGCAGTTCAATAATGATATATTTAAAATATGTAATTGTGTATGTGTGTGTAAATATCACAATTTCATAAATATCTCGAGATCATGCAGACCTTTAGGAATGAATTTTCTTTAAATTGTAGGTCTCACGTGCAGACATAAAGTAAGAGTACGTTTGGCATAGATTAATAAAGTTTAACTATGTTTTTTTGGATTTTTAATTATGCAAAAAACGGTTTTTGGTTATTACTTTAAAAAATAAAGAAAAGGAAATACTTTTTATTTTTGTCAATATACAAATATTCAATATCAATCAATAAATGTTTATTGTAAGTAGCAGTAAAAGGCTAAATTTCTTCCTTAACTTATAATAAAAAAGACATCTTTGTCAAAATACTAAATATAAGCGAGTCAACAGGTATTACTTTGCAAAAAATGACATTCATTCATGTCAACCGAATGTTTTTTCCTATTAAGTACCCTTTAGGGTGTGTGATTCACCATAGATGAATCAAATACCCATCGTGGACCCTTCAGAGAGCATTGGTCTCAGGTGGTTTAATTAACGTCCGTCATCAGATATTGTTGTAAAAAATTATTTTTTATTTACCAACTCTATGTATTCTATTTGCTCTTTCCAAACGTTTAACAAAAAACCCGCTGGAGAGATAAGTCTTAACCCATCCACATCCTCCCGATTTGTTTTCTCGGGTCTTAATTCTGCTCAATGATCGACTTTCTTAATGTCAATCGTGAATTTTATCTAAATAACTCTGATTTCGAAGTTATTTTAAAGTGAAATCTGTTGACTCACTTATTTGGTAAAATAATATAAATTTAAGTTGAATTTCTTTTCTTTTTTTATTCATGTTTCTTATTTTTTTAGCAAGTTAATTTGAGCTTTTCATTTTTTGGCAAGTTTCAGGTTTAGCACATTTAATAATGTAATGTTTACAGTAATGTTTAAGCTACTTATCAAAAGTAGTTTCGGACTGATACTCCATATTTTTAACAACTATGAAACGAGCTGAGGAAAGTCTTCAGGACCAACCGTCTTTCTTATGGAGAACGGGAGGGAGAGAACATTTTACTTTCCACGAGACAAAACCGATTGATTCTCGCGAAGAAATTCCTTTACCGTTTGTCATTGATTTTTATAGTCTATTTTAATTGTACTGGAAAATTACCGTCATTTATTAATAAACTCTTTTGCTTTCTAAATATTTTATGAATACTTAAATCTGAGAATAAATTATTAAGTTTTTTTGTGCATTTTGTATTTTTATATATTAAATTACAGGAATCAAGTGAGTCAAAAGATTCGTCATTAAATTAAAATACATGTTTCGTTCTCTGACTACCAGTTTAACGAGTATATTGGGAATGTTCATAAACTTTGTGTGACTGCTCAATTCAAAGCCAGCTAAGGATGTACCAACGGATGTTCATGAGCTTGGGTCACAGTCTAATTCCAAACCCCTCGTTCTAACCAATTGACTGTTTTTACATCAATCGAATATAAGCTAAAAGTAATCTAATTGTTTTAAGAGAATGCTTTTGACTCACTTTCTTCTCATAATATCTTTCAATTACTCTCATGGAAAATACCCTACTAATATGAACCTATTATTATTGTAGGTTCTGAGTTTGTTATTAATGCTTTTTAGAAACTTTGATTTTAAAATCTCATATTTGATATTAAATTTATCATTGATAAGATTAAGTATTTATTTTAATTGAAATGTATAATTTAATTGTTGCTTTAAGGGCTTGTTAGCCTTAGGAACTTATTTTTCTAAATAAATAAAATATAGGATATCTAACTTATTTCCTTATTTGTTGAACAAAGGAAGATGAAGGTTATCAGCCTGAATATATTTGAGAAAAGATAACAAATTTTAGTAAGGCTAAGTCTCAATTCAAATGGTTTAGTATAGTTCATGGATGTTTCAATGCTTTAACCCTAAACAGTCGCATGAAAACTCAAAAGTTGCTCTATGAACCTGATTAAATCGTAGAGGCATAATTTTAGTTTTTGTTGCACAAAAGGAAAAAGGTTCACTATTGATTAATCTTTTGCTGCGCTTCTTAGAGAAAAATTTAAACCTCCTTTTTTCAAATTTTAATTGTCTGATATAGCGAACGGGTGGACACGTTACTACTTAAAAATTACAATAAAATTTTCTATACTTTAGGATGTTGTTTAGCAACATCCCACAAACAATTAATCAAATTTTTAATGATAATTATTTAAATTTTTCGTGGTAGTTTCATAGTTTATGATGCAAACAAAAAAGACAGTAAAATTTTTAGCTTTCTTATGAATTGTAATAATTTAATTTTTTTAAGTACTTGTAATAAAAATCCCTAACTTATCCCTGAATTTCCTGATCTGTGGGAACTTTGTCAATGTTAGTGAGATAAAATACTCTATTTTAATTTTAATCACCCATAACTTCTATTTTTATTTTTCCTTTTGTTTATTTACTATCTAGTTATTTTTTTGACAAGTTATAATTTAAGATTTTAATTTTTTAATTAATTAATTAATTAATTAATTCGGTTTTTCGAATTTATGGTAATTTTAGATTTTTTACTAAAGGGTGGAGACTTTTAAATATGTAAAGTGTTTTTAAAGAGCCCAAAAATAATGAAGCTAAATGCAGTAAATAAGAAAAAAAATGTCGAATTTTAAGAAATTAAGTTTTTCGAATTTTTGATAAATTTAGATTTTTTACCACAGGGTGTGGAGACTATTAAATAAGTAAAATGTTTTTGACGAGCCCAAAAATAATAAAGCTAAATGCATTAAAAGAGAAGAAAAAATGTTGAATTTTAAGAAATTCGGTTTTTCGAATTTTTGATAATTTTTAATAATTTTTAATTTTTTACCAAAGGGTGGATACTATCAAAAAAAGTAAAATGTTTTTGAATAGCCCAAAAATAATAAAGCTAAATGCATTAAAAGAGAAGAAAAAATGTTGAATTTTAAGAAATTCGGTTTTTCGAATTTCGATTTTTTGATCATTTTTAATAATTTATGATTTTTTGCTAAAGGGTGGAGACTATTCAAATAGTAATATTTTCCTACCAAAATAGCTAATGGTAACTAATTATTGTTTTTTCCGGTCAAATGAAATTCCTGGCTATTTTCTGATTTTACAAATTGGTAGAAACACTGTTAAATGTATTGGTAAAAACTAAAACCCGTCGAGAAGGGTATGGCAGCTAGTTTTAAAATATAGGTACTTACCCCATCTAGCCTGCAGTCGCAAGGGATAATACCAGTCGGGTAGCAGTGACAAGCAATTAGCAACTCACTGCTACCTGACTGGTATTATCTCTTACGACCGTGCGCTCGTCCTCTTATTGTACAGAGGATTTCAATTATTCGCAACAAAAATTTATACCATTTATTTTTTATGATCTGTGATATTAAGGGGATAATAAAGGGATTGCATTTTATTTACATTGTGTTTAAAAATAAAAATGACATTGAGTTTAGGTATCACAGCGGTAATAATTATTATTAGATAAAGTTATAAGCAGTACAAATTTTTATAATTTTAGCTTTAAATGTATTTATGTATATTTCTTTGATTTTTCAAGAAATGTATTGTAAATTCATTTTTGTATTCTATGTTTTATTTCTGTTTTTTATGGAAAGTATTAGAAAGCAGATTATTATAATTAGTATAATAATATTATAATAATATAATAATTATTATTATTATAATTATTATAATTGATAGTATTCTTACTGTATTTTTTAAATAATACATTTTTTCAAAGTACAAAGTTTTTTTTAATATTCTACAAATATATCAAGAATGATCTTAAGAAAAAATATAAACAAGTGGTATGTTTGTTAGCCGCTGTAATACCTAAGAAATAAATATAAAAATTAAAAACTCACTGTGAATACCATTCCTGTTGGAAAGAAGATAATTCGGTCTTCGTTCGTTGTACGATTCCTTCCGCTTCTTTCTCGTCCTCTTCCGTGACTATTTTTTCTTATTTATTAAATACATAAATATCGCAATTCCTATCTGAATAATACTACATAATTTTTAAAACGCAGTACAATAATAATAATAATAATAATAATAATAATAATAATAATAATAATAATAATAATAATAATCGCAAAATAATAATTATACAACAAAAATTCGCCGTTAATTTTTCAATTACATTTTACAATAATATATAACTTGATAATGCTCTGCTTCATTTCCTCTTCTTAAGAAGAATATGATGTTGAAAACGTAACTGCAAAATATATTAAAGTATAATTAAAAAACGAATAAGTATTAACTCTGTTCGTGTTTAACGCAAAATAACTTTATTATTTGTTTTTGTTTTCTTTCTTTATAATGAAGAAGATAGCGTTTTTTGCTATTTGATTAAATTGAAAATTATCATCAAGATAACAATATAACAATAGAAATTATGCACATTTTTTTAATTAAAAAAAAATATAATTTCTTTAAAAATTGTTATTAAACAATAAAAATTATAGAAGCAGTTTTCCAAAAGAAACTAAAATTTATGTAAAAAACATGATCGCTATATCAAAATTATGAAAATATTTTTCTTTTGTTCTATAAAAATCTAAAATTGTGTTTTATTTTAAATTTAAAATTATGATTGACAAATAAAAATTTGTAAAATATTAATAAATTACTTTCAATACTTGAAATTTTTCAAATAATTGTTGAATTTTTTTTTTGAAATAAATAAAAATCCTGCTTAACTTTAATTTTCTTTATTTTAAAAATCTTATTGACTCACAAATCGAATTTATAAAAAAATTTTAAATTGAATTAAAATATTTTCAATACAATTTGAATCATTTTTCTTGATGAATTTTAATTGTTTAAATTTTTTTTTAATTCCTAGAAAGGATTTAATTATTTTTTGCACATCAAGCAATAAGAAACACTATATTATTAAAAGCTTTTGACTTACCCATTTCATTATTATTTTCCTCATCATCGCCTTGAATAAAAGTTTGATGGCAAAAGTCTGTAATTTTCTTCCGCATAAAATTGCCTCTTGAATGACTGCAGTCCGATGTGATTCTGAAAGAATTGAAATTAATTAATAAAATAAATTAAAAATAAAAAAAAAGTTTTTAAACTAATGTTTACAATCAAAGTTAATTTTTAAAACAAAATTCTAAAATTGATATTCCAAAGCAACTAATATAAATAAATAAAAGTAAATTAAAATTAATTTAAAATAAACAAAAAAATTTTCAAATTTTTTGAATGTGTTAAAAAAAATGTTAATTATAAATCTTAGAAAATTTTTGTACGGATTACTATATTTACCAAATTTAATTTTTGACTATAGTTGATAACCCTTTTCAGAAAAACACTATTAAAAACATTTTATTTATTAAAAAAACACAAAGTACTTCCGAAAAAAACTTTTAAGAAATAAAATTATAAAAACTTTTAAGACAAAATATTAAAAACATATTCGCTGATATTAAAAAAATTAAACCACTCCCGAAGTTAACAAATTTAACTTTACAAAATTATTTCGCTTCAGTCACTAAGACTTCGAACATTTGACTGTTAAAGAGAAACTCCTAAAATGAGAAAAAAAACCACCCAAATATTTCAATTATAAAATTATAATCTACTGTATATTTCAAGGGTTATTACCTGGTCATAGACCTTTCCTGTTGTTCCCAAACGAACGTAAACAAAATAACTCTATACTCAAGCAGACGACCTTTTCAAGGTCTTTTTATTTTTCATACCTACCTACTTAGTACATGACCCCGAGTAAGCAAAAATTTATAAACAATAAGTCTTATTTATCAAATTGTACAGCAGTGTACATTAAAGTTTTAAAAAATGCAAATTTTATTAAAAAAATCTAATTTAAAGCAAATCTAAAGTTGCAAAAAGATGACATATTTTTTTAGAACTCAGTACTTTATATTTAAGTAAGCGAAAAATTATAAACAATAAGTAATATTTATCAAAATGTACAGCTGTTGACAATAAAGTTCGAAAAACTAGATATTTTATAACAAGTCTAATTTAAAGCAAATCTAGGGTTGCAAAAAGGTGCACTATTTTCTTAACAATATAGTTAATGTCCCAGATTAAGAAAAAAAATTATAAACTATAAGTACTGTTTACAAAAATGTACAACAGTGGACATTAAATTTTTAAAAAATAGGAATTTTATCAAAAGTCTAATTTAAGGCAAATAAAGGGTTGACAAAATTGTGCTCCATTTTTTTAAAACTTAACAAATTACCCTAAAAATGAAAAAATATAAACAATAATTATTGCTCATATTAGTGTACAGCAGTTCACATTAATTTCGAAAAATAATTTTTATTATAAAAAGGATAATTTTATGAAAATCTACGAAGCAGAAAAAATTAGGGATTTATTTGAAAACTCAACAAATATCCCTGAGTGTAGAAAAAAATTAAAACAATAAATATTCCTTATATTAGTGTATTGTTGACAATAAAATCAAAAAATTAATTTTTATTTTTTAAGAAGTTTAATTTAATAGAGATTTAGAAGGTAAAAAAAAGTTCTGAATTTTTTTGCCGACTTTGCGAATGTCATTGAGTATGGAAAAAATATAAACAACCGTTAATGCTCATATTGATGTACAAGAGCTGACATTAATTTAAAAAAATTAAATCTTATTTTTAAAAAAAGTTTAAAGTAATAGAGATTTCGTGGCTAGAAAAAGTTCTCAATTATTTTGACAACTTTGCAAATGTCTGTGAGAATAGAAAAAAAAATAAACAATAATTATTGTCTATATTGATGTACAGTAGTTCACATTAATTTAAAAAAATTAATTTTTATTTTTAGAAAAGTGCTAATTGGCGGATAGAGTATTTTGAAAATGAATTTTGCCAAAATTATATTACTCAAGAAAATTCTTGTAAATAAACATCTAATAAACAATATCAACAAAAAAATCAATTGTTCATTAACAATTGAATTCTTAAAGCTACTAACTTCGTCAAACTCAAAAATTCGATTTTCTGCTAATTGGCGGATGGAGTATTTTGACTAGAAATTTTGCCAAAATTATATTACTAAAGAAAATTCTTGTAAATAATCATCTAATACACAAAAGACAACAACAAAATCAATTGTTCATTAACAATTGAATTCTTAAAGCTACTAACTTCGTAAAAATAAAAAATTAGATTGTCTGCTAACTGATGGATGGAGTATTTTGACTAGGAATTTTGCCAAAATTATATTACTAAAGAAAATTCTTGTAAATAAACATCTAATAAACAATAGTCAACAAAAAAAATCAATTGTTTATTAACAATTGAATTTTTAAAGCTATGTACTTCGTAAAACTCAAAAATTCGATTTTCTGCTAGTTGGCGGATGTTGTATTTTGACTAGGAATTTTGCCAAAATTATATTACTAAAGAAAATTTTTGTAAATAAACATCAAATCGAAAAAAAATCAAGTCGAAAAAAAAATCCATTGTCTATTAACAATTGAATTTTTAAAGCTACTAACTTCGTAAACATAAAAAATTAGATTGTCTGCTAATTGGCGGATGGAGTATTTTGACTAGGAATTTTGCCAACATTTATTTACTAAAGAAAATTCTTTTAAATAAACATGTAATGAACAATAGTCGACAAAAAAATTAATTTTTTATTAAAAAATTGATTTTTAAATCTATGTACTTCGTACAACTCAAAAATTCGATTGTCTGCTAATTGGCGGATGGAGTATTTTGACTAGGAATTTTGCCAAAATTATTTTACAAAAGTAAATTCTTTTAAATAAGCATCTAATGAACAATAGGAAACAAAAAAATCAATTGTTTATTAACAATTGAATTTTTAAAGCTCCTAGCCACGAAAAAATCAAAAATTCGATTGTCTGCTAATTGGCGGATGGAGTATTTTGTCTAAGAATTTTTGCGAAAATTATTTTACAAAAGTAAATTCTTTTAAATAAACATCTAATGAACAATAGGCAACAAAAAAATCAATTGTTTATTAACAATTGAATTTTTAAAGCTCCTAGCCACGAAAAAATTAAAAATTCGATTGTCTGCTATTTGGCGGATGGAGTATCTTGACTAGGAATTTTGCCAAAATTATTTTACAAAAGTAAATTCTTTTAACTAAACATCTAATGAACAATAAGCAACAAAAAAATCAATTGTTTATTAACATTTGAATTTTTAAAGCTCCTAGCCACGAAAAAATCAAGAATTCGATTGTCTGCTATTTGGCGGATGGAGTATTTTGACTAGGAATTTTGCCAAAATTATTTTACAAAAGTAATTTCTTTTAAATAAGCATCTAATGAACAATACTCGACAAAAAAATCAATTGTTTATTAACAATTGAATTTTTTAAAGCTGTTTTCTTCGAAAAAATCAAAAATTCGATTGTCTACTAATTGGCGGATTTGAGTATTTTGACTAGGAATTTTGCCAAAATTATTTTACAAAAGTAAATTCTTTTAAATAAACATCTAATGAACAATCGGCAACAAAAAAATCAATTGTTTTTTAACAATTGAAATTTTAAAGCTCCTAGCTACTAAAAAATCAAAAATTCGATTGTCTGCTATTTGGCGGATGGAGTATTTTGACTAGGAATTTTGCCAAAATTATTTTACAAAAGTAAATTCTTTTAAATAAACATCTAATGAACAATGGGCAACAAAAAAATCAATTGTTTATTAACATTTGAATTTTTAAAGCTCCTAGCCACGAAAAAATCAAAAATTCGATTGTCTGCTATTTGGCGGATGGAGTATTTTGACTAGGAATTTTGCCAAAATTATTTTACAAAAGTAAATTCTTTTAAATAAACATCTAATAAACAATGGGCAACAAAAAAGTCAATTGTTTATTAACAATTGAATTTTTAAAGCTCCTAGCCACGAAAAAATCAAAAATTCGATTGTCTGCTAATTGGCGGATGGAGTATTTTGACTAGGAATTTTGCCAAAATTATTTTACAAAAGTAAATTCTTTTGAATAGACATCTAATGAACAAAGGACAACAAAAAAACCAATTGTTTTTAAACAATTGAAATTTTAAAGCTCCTAGCTACGAAAAAATCAAAAATTCGATTGTCTGCTATTTGGCGGATGGAGTATTTTGACTAGGAATTTTGCCAAAATTATTTTACAAAAGTAAATTCTTTTAAATAAGCATCTAATGAACAATACTCGACAAAAAAATCAATTGTTTATTAACAATTGAATTTTTTAAAGCTGTTTTCTTCGAAAAAATCAAAAATTCGATTGTCTGCTAATTGGCGGATGGAGTATTTTGACTAGGAATTTTGCCAAAATTATTCTACAAAAGTAAATTCTTTTAACTAAACATCTAATGAACAATAAGCAACAAAAAAATCAATTGTTTATTAACAATTGAATTTTAAAAGCTCCTAGCCACGAAAAAATCAAAAATTCGATTGTTTGCTAATTGGCGGATGGAGTATTTTGACTAGGAATTTTGCCAAAATTATTTTACAAAAGTAAATTCTTTTGAATAGACATCTAATGAACAAAGGACAACAAAAAAACCAATTGTTTTTAAACAATTGAAATTTTAAAGCTCCTAGCTACGAAAAAATCAAAAATTCGATTGTCTGCTATTTGGCGGATGGAGTATTTTGACTAGGAATTTTGCCAAAATTATTTTACAAAAGTAAATTCTTTTAAATAAGCATCTAATGAACAATACTCGACAAAAAAATCAATTGTTTATTAACAATTGAATTTTAAAAGCTCCTAGCCACGAAAAAATCAAAAATTCGATTGTTTGCTAATTGGCGGATGGAGTACTTTGACTAGGAATTTTGCCAAAATTATTTTACAAAAGTAAATTCTTTTAAATAAGCATCTAATGAACAATGGGCAACAAAAAAATCAATTGTTTATTAACAATTAAATTTTTAAAGCTATTTTCTTCGATAAACTCAAAAATTCGATTGTCTGCTAATTGGCGGATAGAGTATTTTGACTAGGAATTTTGCCAAAATTATTTTACAAAAGTAAATTCTTTTAAATAAACATCTAATGAACAATAG